TGATGTGCAAAGAATTATAAACGAGCCTACTGCAGCCGCACTTTCCTATGGTATGAATAACAAAACTATTAAATATAAACTAAGCAAACGTGCATTGCACGTTGCTTGCACCTAGTATATATATATATTACTAAGCTTCTCTTTTAAATTAAGATAATATTTTCACAAGTTCGAATATAGGTTTGAATCTTTAGTTATTATGTTATCCCCATATTTCTAGAGTAGATTCAAACTTATCATATCTTATAAGTTTCAATTCTTTCACTCATCCGAACCCCAAAAAAAAATAAAAATTCACTTGCTAATTTCCAATTCATGTCCGAAACAGGTGTCGTACCAATTACCACAATATCAGAACTTTGCCTTTTATTAGCATTGATTTTGCTCACAGCTGTGACAAGTCTTTGGAGTTCACTTTTGCTGCTTCTTTGCCTTTTATTAACATTGATTTTGCTCACAGCAGTGACAAGTCTTGGAGTTCACTTTTGCTGCTGCTGCTGCTTCTTCTTCTTCTTCTTCTTTTATTTTCCTTTTTGTACTTGCAATTTCGAGCATAATGTCCCAACTTGTCACAAATGAAGCATGGTCCCTTGGGCTTCTTTTGATCCTAAAAAGTTTCAAGAGACCTACTCCTTGGTTTGGCTTTCGTTGGAGGTTACGGTTTTGTCCTCGACTTTGGCTTTTGAAGTACCAGCATAAGAACTTTCGTTCTTATCTTGTGTCATCGATTCGGAATGACTTAAAAAGTTTAATTTTCGCCGCCTCAACTCATCAACAATAATTTGCAATCCATGTATTTGTGATAACAAATGTATATCATCCAAAAATTTAAAATTCAAGTAGTTTGAAATTAGAAACTTTTTAGTACCTTCCTTCTTAGGCCTTGTATTTGTTTTCAAGTGCCATCCAAATTTCTCTTACCGTTGTTGTGTTGGTGTAGAGATCTTAGTGCATTCAACGTGTGACCCCAGTAAATAAGTTCGCCATCTTGCCTTCTATTTTTATCGGTCCTGATTCCTACGGTGTCTATCCATATGCGGAACAAGAACATAAAAAAATTTCAACATCGTCAATAAGAATTTAATCTCATCTTGCCAATGCGTGAAGTTAGTGCAATCAAGCCTTACCAAATTTTGATTCACGGGTTTGATTGTCACCAAAATGGATCCAGTCTCCATCGTAGAGAAATAACGCTTTTGGATTTCTGAGAATAATCGAAGTAGATGAAGGAATCTGGAGAACAAATCCACCAACTTGTTGAAGCAAGAAGATGAAGAAGAAGAAGATGACGACGACGACGACACCATTGGCTTGAATATGGACAAAAAGTTAATTTGCAGCAGTGCAGGCGCGCTGAGCAGGCAACGCCAATTTTCCATTTTTGATAGAAGGTGCTGCCTTTGGTACTA